ACTAACAGAGAGGAGAATTGAGAAAACAGGAAGCCAGAAGGAGACACTGCCAGCTGCTGCCAGGGCAAGCAGCATGTGAACATGCCAGTAAGCCTCAAGCCATGTGGCAAGGTATAGATTTATGGGAATGGATTAATTTAAGCTATAAGAAGAGTTAGCAAGAAGCCTGCCACGGCCATACAGTTTGTAAGCAATATAAACCTCTGTGTTTAATTTGTTGAGTCTGAGCAGCTGTGGGACTGGCAGGTGACAAAGATTTGTCCTGATTGTGGGCCAGGCAAGAAAACTCTAGCTACAGTTAGGATCTTAACAGGCTTGTAATCAGTTGATATGAAGTTACATAAGAAAGACAAATAAGTAGAGTCTTTTTAGTATATTCTTGACAGGTTCTATAGACTTTTAAGAAAACTTAATGTTCATTTTGTATACATTCAACTTTCCTTTAATTACCCCATTACAAAAACAAAACTGATTTGTTGGAATCAAACTGTATTCACACATTATTGTGACTGACGGACTGACTGACTGCCTGACTGCAAATATTTCGATTTAGGGAACTATTAGGCTAAATTAAAAGACTGTTTAAAATTTAAAATACAAAAAATTTCAGTCACTATTACACATCAAAATGTAGAAATAATTGGAATTCATTGATATAAAACATTTCAAATACTAATACAAGTTGCTAGACATTTCTAGTGCTAAGCATCAATCATGGAAGAATTTATTCTCACCTACAGAAACCAGGTTGCTGTAGTTCTCCAACATGACGTCTCTGTACAATTCCCTCTGAGAAGTGTCCAGGCATTCCCATTCCTCCTTGGAGAAACTGATGGCCACATCCTTGAAAGTCAATGGACTCTGAAGTGAAAATTGAAATGTTCTTTTTTATGTTGTTTTGAGTCCTTATTTGACCCACAAAAGAGTATTTAACTAAATAAATCCCTTTATTATCAGTAATCTTAAATTTTCAAATGTTATACATTAAGAGGGAGGATGTTGGGACACTTTCATTAGATCAAAGTGCCCAACATCTAAACATTTCATGAAATATGTGCTTTTTCTCAGTGATAATGTCTGAAGCTATCCTCAGTATGAATTGAGTTTCAATATTCATCTCCAATATCAGAAAATTTATAAATACTTCAGATCATGAAATCATATAGAACAGTCATATTGGAAAATAAATGAGGCAGGAAAAAATTAAAATCAGAATGTAGAGCACAAAAATGATGGTGGTAATAAAGAATTTATTTCAAAAATATAAGAAAATAGAAAAATATAGTTTTTGTAAGAGTTTTTGAGAGCTCTGCAAATGAAACATTTATGTGTGGAATGTCAATCTCTCCCATCCTTGTGCAAGTATTTACCTCAGAATATGCCATCTGTTCTTCACCTTTCCTATGGATCCTATCAGGAAGTTTATCCTTTTAATTTAATTTTATTTTATTTTGGTTTTTAGAGTGTGATTTTGTGTGATTTTGTAGCCTTTCCTGGAACTCACTCTGTAGCCCAGGCTGGCCTGGAATTCACAGAGATCTGCCTGCCTTTGCCTCTAGAGTGCTGGGATTAAAGGTGTGTGCCACAACCACTTGGCTAGGACATGTATTTTAAAGTTTAATTTTTCTGATACTATTCTCTATGCAAAGGTAGCAGCACCTGTATTCCCTGCTACCACACTCAGACACCAGAAAGCAGGTTAAAAAAATGTCTTCAATCAATGATTTGGGACATAGCAGAGATGCAGAAATCATGAATTTTTACAGAGAGATAAAAACTTTGTTTCTCCTTTTCTGCATTGAGAGGATCTGTTATTTCAGCAGATCATGGCAATTTCTACAACCTGGCTACGTGGCCTCACCACGCTGCTTTTTACTGTGCACAGACATTTTAAATTGAGTCTAAACACAATTGTAAGAAATTGTGGTGACCCCTTCCTCACATTCCATTTCCCTGACATCATTAATTAAAACATAACAGGCACCTGTATTTTAAATAGTTCATGGAATCTGAGCAGTAGCCTCAACTGTATGTATTTCTCACCCTGGGTTAAGTAATACACTTGCCTACAAACAAGGAACAGTAAAAAAGTGATACCTCAACAGTGTCTTCAATGAGGTATTCCCTTTAGTGTCCATGTTTCCTTCTACAATTCCACTATTTTACAGTTTTGCAGAAAAACAAATGATTAGATTCTCTCTTAAGTTTATTTTAAATACAGAAAATGCTCCTTTTCGATTCACTTGCAAATGCTGTATCTAAATAATGGCATCCCTGCACCCAGTTTAATATTTTCATTAGTTCATTTGTTCAAAAAATGTACTATATAACCATAGGATGTAGTAATGCATCAGCTCCCAGGGGAGTGATTGTTACCAGGTATCAGCGCAACAGAAGAGGATTACAAGTTCACTGTACGGTTAATAAATAACAAAGAGAAACAATGGAACAGACTCTCTGAATCTAGTCATAAACATAACAATAAACATAAGAAAACTTGAATGATAGGATAATTTCATACCACATTATGACTGGCAAATTCCATTTGGAAGTTTGTATTACATTATATACTTCAACTTTCTATATAACACAGTATGCCTTTCATATAAATAATACTTTAAACATTATCCATTAACAGGAAGACATTCCATCCTTTTTCACAGTGCCTCTTTTTTTTTTTTTTTTTTTTTTACAACAGTCTATATTGAACAAATAGATACTTAAGCAAAAGAATCATGGAACATGACTTCTTTCTCATTCATGAAATGACTAAATTCCATTTTCAGTAGGACATGGGTATGCATGTATATTTGTATATCAAATGAGTATACTAGGCATTAATGCAGAGAATATATTGTGAAAACATCGAGTGAGAAAACAGTGAAAAGCAGCACACACTCATGTGACATGCATTCAAATAACTTCACCTTGACAACCACATCAGAAATAGAAAAAAAGCCTTGTTAAAAATGTGAGGTAATGTAAATGTTTAGGATCACCACAAAAGAAGCATTTGTAGGAGAACAGGCAAGATATCTCACATCCATACATGCATTTACCTGAGAAAAAGCCATCTCTCTTTTCCCTTCCATCTCGATCCTCTCAGGAAACTTTATCTCAGAACTTCACTTTCCTGATAATATGTTGGTTTCAAAGCAAGAAAAGCTTCACATACTTTCTACCACACTAAGAGACTGGAAGGCATGATCAAAAAGCTCACTCTCTGTACTTTATTGGAGCAGAGAGGTAAGAAAACATGAGCTCCCAGAGCCAGACAAAACTCAATGTTCTACTTTCATGCATTCAGGTAGGTAGTCTGTTTTTCCAGCATGAATGACTTTAGTACAATTCTGGTAACATGGCTAAATTGACCTGTGAGAGGTAGCAGAACCAGGTGGGCATTTCAAATTGATGCTGAGCACAGCTGACATCGAGAAGCATTAAAGACACACACATTCTGTTACTCTGAGGTGGTTGATTAAAGACAATGAGGAATCCATGGAAGATAACACACAGTATCTGTGGGGTATCTCAGATGAAAGTAATTCTTCAAATGGATAAAAAATATAGTTACTTGTGTCCAAGAAGCATGAAGGCATCGCATTTCCCTCTAAAGTCTCCACTGACTTCTCCTATTCATTACTATGTTACAATTTATAGTATTAAGATTCTGCAACTTTGCAGTGATTAAAACTTTTCACAGATTTATTTTCATAATAATATTACTTCACCCAAGAACATTGTTAAGTAATTATGGGTGAAAAATTAGGGGAGTGGTGGTGGTGATTGCCTTTAATCCCAGCATTTGGGAGTCAGAGTCTGGTGAATCCCTGTGTGTTTGAGGCCAGCCTGGTCTACAAAGTGAGTTCCAGGACA